AAGATCGCTGTAGGCTGTTTTGTAAAAATTGACAAGCTGATCTGTACATCAATGAAAACTATAGAGGTACAAAAATAGTCCCATATGTCTATGGAAAACTGATTTTCAACAAAGGTGCAAAGGCAATTCAGTGGAGAAAGGGTGGTATTTAAATAAATGGTGCTAGAACAACTGGGTATCCATAGGCAAAAAAATGAACTTTGATCTATACCTTATATCATATATACCTTTGATCTATACCTTATACATACATATCAACTCAAAATAGATCATAGACCTAGACTACAAAACTTCTTGAAGAAAACACAGGAGAAAAATTTATGACTTTGAGTTAGGTGATGTCTTATGACATCAAATGCATGATTCATAAAAGAAAAAAACTGACAAATTGACCTTTGTTAAAATTAAAACTTTTTTTCAGAAAGACACTTAAGAGAGTGAAAAAATAAGCCATAGACTGAGAGGAACTATTAGCAAAGCACATATCTGATAAAGAGCTTGTATCCAGAACATATTAAGAACCCTGAAAAGCTAATGGTAAGACAACAATCTAATTTTAAAAAATGGGCAAAAGATTAGAACAGAAATTTCACCAAGGAAGATACAGGGATAGCAAATAAGTACATAAAAAGATGCTCAACAACATTAGTCATTAGAGAAATACAAATTAAAACCACAATGAAATACCACTACATACACCTCTTAGAATGGCTAAAATTAAAAAAGGCTGATCATACCAAATGTTGGCAACGATGAAAAAGAACCAGAATGCTGGTACATGCTGGTGGGAATGTAAAATAGTACAATCTCTTTGGGAAACAGTGTGGAAGTTTCTTAAAAAGTTAAATATGTACCTACTAAATGATCAAGTCATTCCACTCCTAGGTATTTCTCCAGAAAAAATGAAAACATATGTCATAAAAAGACTGGTATGCAAATATTCATAACAGCTTTATTTGTAATAGCCCCAAACTGGAAAGAATCCAAATGCCCATAAACAGATGAATAAATACATTGTAGCATATTGATACAATAGACTACTAGTCAGCAATAAAAAGGAATGAGCTACTGATATACACGACATGGATGAATCTCAAGGCAATTATGTCAAGACAAAGAAGCCAGGCAAAAAAGAAATATATACTGTATAATTGTATTTATATAAAATTTTAGAAAATGCAAACTAACCAGACAGCAGATCAGTGGTTGCCTGGAATGAAGCAAGGGTGGGAAGGAGGGATTATACAAACACATGATGAAACTTTTGTGGGACATGGATATGTTCGTTATCTTTTTTTTTTTTTTTTTCCTGCTCATTCATAGGAACTCAAAAAAATTTGAGTGCTGGAGATGTTACAAATATCTTCTGTTACACTTGGAAAATATATTCAGTTCTAAATTTCAGGTATTTTGTTGGTAGATAAGCAGCATGAAAAAAATGATATTTTTCCCAACTTTCTTGATTAAAGGGTCGAGTGGTGGAAAATATCTCCAAGCGATGTGGTGGATTCCTGAGGAAGCTCAGCTTGCGAGGCTGCATTGGCGTTGGGGATTCTTCCTTGAAGTAAGTCAGATCCACGGGAACTCACTCTGTCACGGCAGCTCGTAGCTGACATTTCATTCAGCAAAAATAAACCAAGCGTATTATATCCTTTTCTTCTGTTAGATTCTTTCTACGGCAATTTTCAAAGAGTAATGAGAGAACCGTGACTTTGGAGTAGCCAGCTAGGTTGGAACCGAGCTACACTGTTGTTAAGGATGTGACCTCAGGACAAATTATTTCACCTGGCTGAGCGTCCGTTCTCTCTTTGGCAAAGTGGGGCGCGGTTGCAGCTCCTACATAGGAGTGTCATAGGCATCACGTGAAATCTTTACTAAAAGGATTTGTTCTATAAAATTAGGGTTCGGTCAAAAGGCCACACTCAAGGATCCAGAAGGCCACATGTGGCCCTGAGGCTGCAGGTTCCCACCCTTGATGCACATAATAATATTATAATGTTTGTTCATCTCTCTTCTTCACTTCCCTATCTTCCTAGTTTTCTTCTCATAATATTAGCTGTCTTTTTGTATCAATTATGCTAATAAAATAATTCTTACGAAAATTTTCTTAGCATAAGCTGGAATTTTACTTACTTATAATGGGATATGATACTATATTCATTTCATTATAGTTAGCATATATCCTGTCCACCAAATGCATGCCCAGCTCTTCATGGATACGCCATTATTTATTGGAATGTTATCAAACCACTGTTAAGGACATGCACTTTGAGGTTTTCTGGAGACAGACTAATTAGAACTTTCTGTCCTTATCCTCGTGGCCTCTACTATTGCTTCTGAGGCTGGCTAAATTAGGACACACACCCGAACGCTTGGAACAGACTTGTATTCTTGCAGGCTTAAGTATCACCACAGTGTACGTCAGTCGCAAACCACCAGTAAGAATGTGCAGTATATAGTGAATGGAGACAGTAGACTTTGTAATTCAAACATCTGCTACACATTACTAACAAATTTGATTCACATGTCTTTTAAGGATAAGACACTCACATTAAATGTTATGGAACAAAGTGATTTTTTTTTTAATCAAGAAATGCAGGCCATTACATCAGATTTTCTGCTGTTTCAAAAGCTTTGTAACCAGTGGAATGGACTGATCATATCTTAACAGGAGCTTAAATGTTCCGATAGGTCCTAAGATAATTTAAAATAGAGAACATAATCTAATAATGGTTCCATTAAAGAAACTAAAATAAATGTGAAGATGTGGATTGTTGATGAGGGATATCAAAGAATACGTTCTTGTCTTGGCATGTGGAATAAGTCATATCCACTAGCAAAACTATCAGATGAGGTTAAGACTGGTTTACTCTGTGTTTTAGAACAAAAATATACGTTAATTGGCACGATATCTATACATTTTTATACAGATTACACTGAGAAATAATGGTAAACATTCACAGAATCATGACTCAGAAGGAATTTTGTTACCCTTCAGTTTGTTTATTGTAATTACCTAGAGCCAGCTTTGCCTCTACTCTGCCCCAAGTTTGTGTGGTGGTTGTTTTGGGGGCCTGTTCATCTTACAAATGATTGTTGAGCCCCACTATACCAGACGCTGATTTAGGCAATGGAGATACAGTAGTAAACAGATAGATTAAAACCCAGTCTAATGGATCTTGTGTGTACATTCTCCATAACTCCTGCTCCTTTATTATGTAGAAGTCCTGTGGATTTTTGACAGCTTTATTGAGATATAATTGAGATACAATAAGCTGCACATATTTAAAGTGTATAATTGAATAAGTTTCGACATATGTGTACACTCACGGAACGAACACCACAATTAAGATAAGGAGGCTGGGCGTGGTGGCTCATACCTGTAATCCCAGCACTCTGGGAGGCCAAGGCGTACGGATTGCTTGAGGTCAGGAGTTTGAGCCAGCCTGAGCAGGACGAGACCCGTCTCTACTATAATAGAAAGAAATTAATTGGCCAACTAAAATATATAGAAAATTTTGCCAGGCATGGTGGTCCATGCCTATAGTCCCAGCTACTCAGGAGGCTGAGGCGGGAGGATCGCTTGAGCCCAGGAGTTTGAGGTTGCTGTGAGCTAGGCTGATGCCACGGCACTCACTCTAGCCTGGGCAACAGAGAGAGACTCTGTCTCCAAAAAAAAAAAAGGTGGTTTCTCCTGAAAGACTCTAGGGTAACCAAGTGACAGCAAGGCACAATACAAGAACATTCGCCTGGC